CCAGGTTGGGCAATATGGCAAAACCCCATTTCTTAAAAAAAGAAAGAAAGAAAGAAATCCAAAAAAAATTAGCCAGACATGGTGGCACATGCCTGTAATCCCAGCTACTCAGGAGGCTGAAGTGGGAGGATCACCTGAGTGAGACTGCAAGTCAAGGCATGGTAAGCTGTGATTGCGCCCCTGCCCCTTCACTTCAGCCTGAGTGACAGTTAGACTATGAGAGGCTCTAGTGATCCGCTCTTCAACCTCCCAGAGTGCTGGGATAATAGGCATGAGCCCCACCACACCTGGCCACAAAGTTCCCTTCTTTTGTTGTTGTTTTTTGTTTTTTGAGACAGAGTTTCGCCCTTGTGACCCAGGTTGGACTGCAATGACATGATCTTGGCTCACTGCAACCTCTGCCTCCTGGGTTCAAGCGATTCTCCTGCCTCAGCCTCCCAAGTAGCTGGGATTACAGGCATATGTACCACCATGCCCAGCAAATTTTTTTATTTTTAGTAGAGTTGGGGTTTCACCATGTTGGCCAGGCTGGTCTCAAACTCCTGATCTCAGGTTATCCACCTGCCTTGTCCTCCCATTACAGGCATCAGCCACCATGCCCAGCCACAAAATTTAATTCTTTAGTAAGCTGACTCCTCATATATCTCTCACCAAGTGAAGTCTTACAGGTCAGAGAATAAATTTTATCTCCCAGATCCCATGAAGCTCTAACAAGTTCTAGACTGAATCATTCTGACTACTGGCCACAGCTGCTGCTTCCTTTTTTCTTTATTCTCTTTAGATGTATGGTGGCATGAGAGGCATGAAGGGATTGGTCTATGAAACATCAGTTCTTGATCCTGATGAGGTAAGATATCTTCATGTCAATTACTAATAATCGAGTTTGTACAATGATTATGCAAACCATGGATTAGACCAATAAGGGTAAGCACAAAACAGAGCACCTAGCTTAGGTAGAGAACACGTAAGTATGGAATAACTGAAGAACCAGTTTACCTTTTAAATATATCAACTAGTAAAAATAAAAGTACAAAACCAGAGGTAAGTTATGTGAAGCTTTAGGCTTTAAAAGTTCTATTCTGGGCTAGGTATGGTGGCCTACCCCTGTAATCCTAGCACTTTGAGAGGCCAAGGTGGGAGAATTACTTGAGGCCAGAAGTTCAAGACAAGTCTGAGCAAAATATCAAGTCCCCTACCTCTACAAAAATAATAATTAATGTTCAAAAGTTCTACTCTAACTTGTTGTAAGGTCTGATGAGTAGGACCAGTCAGTTGTGTGACTTCCAGACTAATAAACTTGAGTTGTAAAAATAAATAAATAAAATAAAACTTGAGTTGTAATTCTCTCTCTTCTCTCTCAAGGGCATCCGTTTCCGAGGCTATAGTATCCCTGAATGCCAAAAACTGCTGCCCAAGGCTAAGGGTGGGGAAGAACCCTTGCCCGAGGGCTTATTTTGGCTGCTGGTAACTGGACAGATCCCAACAGAAGAACAGGTAAAGCAGAAGGATGTTATTAGCTCTTCTCATTCCCCTTCATTGCATTTCGCTAATCTCAGATGCTTAATGCTAATCTGGTCAAGGATGGTAGTTTATAGAGATGTGTAGTGAGGGGAGGAAATCAGAGCAGAGTTCTAGTGTGTAAATGGATTGGGTTGAACTGTCTTGGGTTTTCTTTACTCAGATGTCACTGTCCTTTTTTATTTTTCTCCTTCCTTGTCCTTGCTGGTATTCTGAGCACTGTCTCTTTCCACAGGTATCTTGGCTCTCAAAAGAGTGGGCAAAGAGGGCAGCTCTGCCTTCCCATGTCGTCACCATGCTGGACAACTTTCCCACCAATCTACACCCTATGTCTCAGCTCAGTGCAGCCGTTACAGCCCTCAACAGTGAAAGTAACTTTGCCCGAGCATATGCAGAGGGTATCAGCCGAACCAAGTACTGGGAGGTAGGAAATTTGGGTGGGTTAATGGGTATGTAATGGGGATTCAAAGGACTTAAGTATGAAGGGAGGGGAAAAAAATGTAGACTCTGTAGGAAAATTGGCCAGGCACGGTGGCTTATGCTTGTAATCCCAGCACTTTGGGGGGCCAAGACGGGTGGATCACGAGGTCAGGAGTTCAAGACCAGCCTGACCCACATGGTGAAACCTCCGTCTCTACTAAAAATACAAAAATTACCTGGGCATGGTGGTTCACACCTGTAATCCCAGCTACTCAGGAGGCTGAGTCAGAAGAATCACTTGAACCTGGGAGGTGGAGGTTGCAGTGAGCTGAGATTGCACTACTGCACTCCAGCCTGGTTGGCAGAGTGAGACTCCGTATCAAAAAAAAAAAAAGAAAAATTACCTTTAAGATAATCAGAAACTAACCTAACAAATTTTCACTGGGGGCTTGCTTTTTGTCAGTTGTTGGAATTACAAAGCTAAATAGAGCATGGTTTCTGTCACCAAGGATATTTGTTTGGTTAGGATAACATACATGTAAAAAAAGAAACTATTAAAATTCCATAGTCGGCCGGGCACGGTGGCTTACACCTGTAATCCCAGCACTTTGGGAGGCCGAGGTGGGCAGATCACAAGGTCAGGAGTTTGAGACCAGCCTGACCAATATGGTGAAGCCTCGCCTCTACTAAAAATACAAAAATTAGCCAGGCATGGTGCTGCGCACCTGTAGTCCCAGTTACTCAGGAGGCTGAGGCAGAGGAATCGCTTGAACCTGGGAGGCAGAGATTGCAGTGACCCAAGATCACGCCATTGCACTCCAGCTTAGGCAACAGAATGAGACTCCACTCAAAAAAAGAAAAAAAATCCCATAGTCTTGCTGTAGCAGAGGTACATACACAGGGCTGTTGAACTGGAAAAGAGAGCTAGGTAGGTGGCTCACACCTATAATCCCCGTGACTCAGGAGACTGAAGTGGGAGGATTGCTTGAGTTCAGGAGTTTGCGATCAGCCTGGGCAACATAGTGAGATCTCATCCCTATGTAAAAAAGGGAAAAACAAGAAAAGGATGTGCTAATTTCAGGGTTCCTGAAGAAGGTTTCACAGAGCAATCTCATGCTAGCGCCAGAAGGTCACTTCCCCTTCCCCTCTTCTTCAAATAAAGAAAACTTTGGAAATCTTACAAGTTGGGAGAACAGCAATTACTTGCAACTCTAGAGTCTAGGAGGATTAATGCTAGTCAGTGATGTTCTCTGCTAGCCAACGCAAGATACCTATCAGGAGTGGGAGAGTGGTTAGTATCCTTGGAGTAGGATCCAATCCAGAAACAAATGAGTTTTATTCTCTGAATATGAAAAGTATCCTTAATAATTTAAAACTCTTGTTTGGGGTATGGGAAGATGGTTTCTTATCCCAATGCATAGTACCTAATAGTTCCAACCTCTTCTAGTACCCCACAAACTCAAAAATGCTGGGTAAAAGTACAAATTAACTGGCTTTGTACTTTTTCCTGTATCTAGGTTTACAGGAGGATATACCATTTTATTTTGTTTCTTCTTTGGAAATAGGTAGCATAGGAACAGAAAAATTCCTTTTTACAAAGCAGGTACATAAGTGATTTTTGGTCAGGAGATGCAAGCCACTAAGAAGGCCTAAAGAGTTCACTGTGCAAAACACAGAATGGCATGAGCCGCTGCTCTGATGCAACCCCCTTGGGTCATTGACAAATCTAGCTTCATTTGGCTGGTCAATATTTATTCAGCACCAACTGTGTATAGAGAATTGTGTTTGCAGTTGAGGAAGAGAGGGAGGGTTTAAAATTGATATTAACGGGCCAGGCACGGTGGCTCACACCTATAATCCAAGCACTTTGGAGGCCAAGGTGGGCAGATGACCTGAGATTGGGAATTCAATACCAGCCTGACCAACATGGTGAAACCCCATCTTAAAAAATAATAATAAGCCAGGCGCGGTGGCTCAAGCCTGTAATCCCAGCACTTTGGGAGGCCGAGGCGGGTGGATCACGAGGTCAAGAGATCAAGACCATCCTGGTCAACATGGTGAAACCCCGTCTCTGCTAAAAATACAAAACATTAGCTGGGCATGGTGGTGCGTGCCTGTAATCCCAGCTACTCAGGAGGCTGAGGCAGGAGAATTGCCTGAACCCAGGAGGCGGAGGTTGCGATGAGCTGAGATCGCGCCATTGCACTCCAGCCTGGGTAACAAGAGTGAAACTCCGTCTCAAAAAAAAAAAAAATAATAATAATAATAATAATAATAAATAAATAATTTTAAAAATTGATATTAACGGCCAGGCGCGGTGGCTCATGCCTGTAATCTTAGCACTTTGCGAGGCCAAGGCGAGCAGATCACGAGGTCGGGAGATAAAGACCATTCTGGTTACCATGGTGAAACCCTGTCTCTGAAATTTAAAAAAAAAAACATATTAACTTGGTTGGCATTGGGGGGCTACTAGTATCAGAATGATGCAAAATATACATATTCACACCACCTAGAAGATTTATTTATAAAGACGTATAAATGCTTCAGGTGAAATGAATGTGTATATATGTACCTGCACACATCAGCAGGTACAAAAGGTCATATAATCTTAATATTTTGCTTTTTGTTTTTGTTTATTTTTATTTTGTTTGTTTATTTTACTTTGAGACGGAGTCTTACTCTGTCGCCAGGCTGGAATGTAACGGTATAGTCTGAACTCAAGCCATTCCCTTGCCTCAGCCTTCTGAGTAGCTGGGACTACAGGCGCGTGACACCACGCCTGGCTGATTTTTTGTATTTTAGTAGAGATGGGGTTTTACCATGTTGGCCAGGATGGTCTCGATCTCCTGACCTCATGATCTGCCTGCCTTGGCCTCCCAAAGTGTTGGGATTACAGGCGTGAGCCACCGCGCCCAGCCTGTTTATTTTTTTGAGATGGAGTCTTGCTCTGTCACCCAGGCTGGAGTGCAGTAACGCAATCTCAGCTCACTGTAACCTCCACCTCCCAGGTTCAGTCAATTCTGCTTCTTCAGCTTCCCGAGTAGCTGAGATTACAGGCACGTGCCACCGTACCTGGCTAATTTTTGTATTTTTAGTAGAGACGGGGTTTTACCATGTTGGCCAGGCTGGTCTCGAACTCCTGACATCAAGTGATCTGCCTGCCTTGGCCTCCCAAACTGCTGGAATTATAAGTGTTAGCCACCATGCCCAGGCGTTTTTATTTTTATTTTTATTTTCTTAGAAATAGGTCTCTATCACCCAGGTCAGGATGCAGTGGCGCAATCATAGCTCCCTGTAATGTCAAACACCTGAACTCAAGTGATCCTCCTGCCTCAGCCTCCCAAGTAAAAGAACTATAGGCACATGCCACCATACCTAGCTAATTTTTTATTTAGCTGTCTAAACAAACATCTTACTGTCTTGTTATGTTGCTCAGACTGGTCTTGAATTTCTAGACTCAGGTGATCCTCCCACCTCAACCTCCCAAAGTGCTAGAATTACAAGCGTGACCCACTGCACCCAGTCTCATTTTAGAGGCTCACACCTGTAATCCCAGCATGTTGGGAGGCCAAAGTGGGCAGATCACTTGAGGTCAGGAGTTAGAAACCAACCTGGGGAAGATAGTAAGATCCCTGTCTCTACAAAAGAATTAAAAATTAGCTAGGCATGGTGGCATGCACTTGTAGTCTCAGCTAGCCGCTCAGGAGGTGGGAACATTGCTTGAGCTGAAAGGTCGAGGCAGCAGTGAGCCATGGTTGTGCTACTGCACTCCAGCCTGGACAACAGAGAGACTATCTCAAGAAAAAGAAAAGTGTCTGTTACTACTTACAATTTTACTTGTCTTTACTATCATGAGGTAGGAGGCTTCTTGATACTTTATATTAGATGCCTATAAGATACTTCCTAGGCACCCAGATATGCTGCATGCTTAACACTATCCTTTACTGAATCACTAAAATGAATTTTGTATTCCCCTGCTTAGCAGGACCTGTATTTCAGCGTACAGTCATTACTTGACTTGCCATCATCTCTTTGTGAGATACTATCTAAGGGTTGAAGGTAAACATGTTGTATTGGCCGGGCGCGGTGGCTCAAGCCTGTAATCCCAGCACTTTGGGAGGCCGAGGCGGGTGGATCACGAGGTCAAGAGATCGAGACCATCCTGGTCA